CACAAGCTTTTAGTTTTCTCAATTATCTTGCAATTTAGGCATTGCTTCCTTTAAAAGCAATACAGGATTTGTAAAGCACCACAAGATTTTCCCTAAATATTAAGTGGCAAGTAGCATAGCTTACATAGGCTTTAAATTTCTGCCTTTTCTTAGTACTTTGTGGACTTTCATTTGATACTCACCATTTTTGTTTCTTATTTTGGGATCTGCTCCATTTTTCAGGAGCTTTAAGGCACACTGCTTATGGGCACGGTATGCAGCACAATGTAATGGTGTATTTCCCATCTGATCTGTACAGTTGATATCAGGAGGTTTGGGCTTGTTTAACTGAAAAACAAAAAACAAACAAAATGCTTTTGTTTCCCCCCTAGATGCCACGTTCCTTCTTTGGGCTGTTAACTGCTCCTAAACCCAAAGAGCACTTCAGTGTAGACCTGACAATGAAGAGGGCAGGTAGCGAGTGTTATGTTAAGAACAAGAATCACAACAATCAAGTTCAGCTACAGGAGGGAACTTCCTATATCCTTCCCATCTCTACTGCACATAGAATCATAGAATGCTTAAGGTTGGAAGGGACCTCTAGAGGTCATCTAGTCCAACCGCCCTGCACACGCAGGGTCTCCTCTAAGAAATATTTATATTGTTAAGTCACTCAGTGTCAGAGAACATACCCCAGTTCAGTCATCTATATTGTTAGATGTCTATTATGGAAACTTTCAACATTGCAGCAGCTATGAAGCCAAGAGGAAAAATTTTAATCTTCCGCATGAGCTATATGCTATACTAGAGGAATTACTGAAAATAACAGGACTCCCAGGGCAGCAATTTGAGTCAGCATCAACACTAACCACCCTAAATGTGCTTCAAAACAGTTCACCCTAAAGAATAAGCTGCTACAGCTGTTGTTTACAGTTCAGCTGGGAAGAGAATAAAAGTCACAGAGACAGTTTGTAGAAGCATCATTTCATTAACGTTAGGATCTTAAATACTTTATTCTCTGAGTGTTCTCAGTTCTTTCAGACTAGCTGTTCTACAGTCTTCTTATCTCTGCTTTTCCCAAATCCCTTCCCTCAGCACATTTTAAGCCACCTCCTTGTGCATTTAGCAGTTTACACCTTGCATAGAGAATTTCACTGAGCTGGAAAGCTCTCCAGCAGTTTCAGTAGGTGTTACAGAAAGCTTTCAAAGACTCAGAAGAAGAGCCCAGTTGACAGCTTTTTCTACAGAATAAAGAATCCATGTTAAGATTCAGCTACCAATTGTCTAGTTTTTGGTAGCTAAATGTATTAAGAATCAGTAAAGATAAGAATCCTGACAAGAGGGAAGAACCACCGGTATTTACTTTAAGAAAACACATCAGAGCAGCAGCTTGAAGGTGGAAGCGTATGCAGAGAAGTGGGAAGTGGGAAGCTTGAAGTTCAGTGAGAAGGTTTAGAGAAACTACCCCATTAAGTCTTCTCTTCCTCAAAATTGTGTTAAAAACAATTATTGGGAAATTGTCTTATTGGGGAAAAATATCAAAATAAAGGAGAGGTATCTCAAGTAAGTGAAACTCTGCTCCAAAAGCAAGGCAGTAGAGAACAAATTCTGGTGTATTAGGTCTCACGATAAAGTAGAATGAAGTAACTACAGATGTTTCATGGGCATAGTAGCTTCAAATTAAAAATATTACACCAGGAGCAAAAAATCTTTAACATTTTTTAGGCAGGCAAGTGTAAAAAACTCTCAAGATAGAGGGCTGTTCACAAGAAGCACCAGGTCAAATGTGGGAAGGTCAGAGAGGTCTATACCATCGAACTATTCTAAAGTGGAAAAAGTTCTTCTGACTTGCTCAAGAGTCAGCAGGAGCTTTAAAATTTTAAATGGTCAGAGGTCTAAATCATCATGTAAAGATTCCCAAGAAAAACATGTATAAATTTAGTGAACTATTAACTGGCTTAAATCCAGCCTCTAGGTCACCAGAAAGTATAAGCACTTTACAGTTTTAGAGGTCAGCAGAGAGCTGTGCTGACATGTACACAGCTCAATGATACTAACATAAAAAAATCAGTTACAGATGAAAACAGCTTACAGGAAGATACACACGTGTATACATGGTTACATGTCACATGACAGAAAACACTAAGTTCTTTAATGACAAATTTGTAAGTCTTGGGCTTAGTCAGCAGTGGGTAAGAATTACCGGATTCGGCAGGAGACCACTTCTGAAACAGTGATACTAGTGTATTAGCTACAATTAGAACATGCATTAACACACGGTTCTTCCACATTTTAGATACAATGTGCAGTACTGGTTCTCGCTCAAAGTAAAGATAAGAATAACAACGATGAGTAAAGATTTAAGAACCATTTCCATGCAAGAAATTCACTAGATGAGTGCTCTTCAGCCTAAAATATGCAAACCTCATGGAAGAGCAGGAACACTGGTTCAAAGTAAAGTGGGGAAAGCCAAAATTAGAAACATACAAGTCTCACACTTGAGAATTTTCCATTTGAAACAAATAAAAGACTTCAGACTGTTTTGGTGTCTTAAAAGGTAATATTCAAGCTATTAACCTTGGGGGCGAGAAGGGGGCGGGAAATCCTACACTGTCCTCTTGCTTCCAAAGAAACTAAGGGTTCTCAAAATCTTCAGTTATAGCATTCAGACCCTGCTTCTCCTACAGCTTTACTGTACCATGATATCATTTAGTTTGAATTAATATGAGAGACTGTAAACCTTGTTCAGTATGGAATTAGGCTGTAAAAATGACTGCTGCACAGCTGCAATAGATACTAGCAACAAAATAGTCCATTCTGTGATGAAAGCTTAAACACTTAACGATATTTAATGCCTCTACGAAAACACTTCTTTCTGCATCTTACCAATAGAAGAGTAGTTACCCACAAATCCCATGGGCCCTGATGGGATGCACCCCAGAGTGCTGCGGGAGCTGGCAGATGCCATAGCTAAGCCGCTCTCCATCATCTTTGAAAGATCCTGGAGAACGGGGGAGGTGCCGGAGGACTGGAAGAAGGCCAATGTCACGCCAGTCTTCAAAAAAGGCAAGAAGGAGGACCCAGGTGACTACAGGCCAGTCAGCCTCACCTCCGTCACCGGAAAAGTGATGGAACGGCTCATACTGGCCATTGTCTCCAGGCACATGGAGGACAAGAAGGTGCTCAGGAGTAGTCAGCATGGATTCACCAGGGGGAAATCTTGCTGGACTAATCTGATAGCCTTCTATGATGGAATGACCAGCTGGATAGATGAGGGGAGAGCGGTGGATGTCGTCTATCTCGACTTCACCAAGGCTTCTGACACCATGGGCCAAGGCACATCAGTTACATGGATTAATAAACATTTATTCAGAGCCTACAAAATGGCAGCTCTACCCAGAGGCGCAGAGGCTGTCCAAATATGTTGCATCTCAGGGAATGAAGATGCAGGCAATAGAAGTTGTTCACATATTCTCCACAAAATTCATGTGTGTTTGGTCATTTAGGTAGCTATTGCACATTCGGATTTGCTGTTTCAGAGCCCTGGAAGCATAAAAATTTCATTTAATGGTATTTTTTAAAATTCCACTTAAGCAAACTGTTAGATGCCCATTTTTACTCTGCCCTCCTTTTTCGGGCAGAGAAGGAGACTTAATAATTCATAAAAAAGAAAAATAATGAAAAAATATGCAAGATGCTGTTTTTACCAGAGCCTGAAGAATTTGTAATGCTTATGCTGAAAGCAAACAGGTAAATCTGAATCTGGTTTGAGATCCTCTCTGTGGTGGCTCATTGCCACCAATGTATTGTGTCCAGTTCTGGGCTCCACCGTACAAGAGGGATGTGGAGCTGCTGGAGAGAGTCCAGCGCAGGGCCACAAGGATGATCAGGGGCCTGGAACATCTGCCCTATGAGGAGAGGCTGAGGGAGCTGGGCCTGTTCAGCCTGGAGAAGAGAAGGCTGAGAGGGGATCTAGTCAGTGTCTGTAAGTACCTCAAGGGAGGGAGTGAAGAGGATGGTGCTGGTCTATTTTCAGTGGTGGCAACCGACAGAACTAGAGGAAATGGCCACAAACTGAAGCACCAAAAGTTCCACAGGAACTTAAGGAAAAATTTTTTAACAGTGAGGGTGACAGAGCACTGGAACAGGCTGCCCAGAGAGGTTGTGGAGTCTCCTTCTCTGGAGATCTTCAAAACCCGCTTGGACGCAGTCCTGTGCCACGTGCTCTGGGTGACCCTGCGTGTGCAGGGGCATTGGACTAGATGACCTCTGGAGGTCCCTTCCAACCTTAAGCATTCTAGCATTCTAGTTTGATGTTGAATTTACAGCACACTGAAATGCAAGCTCTAAGAGCATGCTGTGATATTAGTTCTCTGGCTTTAAGTGTTGCACATAAAGGTAGCACAAGTACTTGAATTCTCACCAAGGCAGTCAGTTTCCAAGTTTCTCCCTCTCTTGCTGCTCCCAAGAGCTCTTCCTCCAGTTTTCTTTCTTGTGTCCTTTCCACTGCTTTTGAAGAAAGATTTTAACAATAAAGTTGCATTTATATCTGATGTATGGCACTTAAGAAAATGTACCAAAATAAACCTAGAGAAATAAAGGCTTCCAGCATCATTTCTCTGCATCATGTACTGATCTAAGCATCTAAGCACAGTGTTTTTTCCCCAGAAAAGTGTTAGGGACAAAAATTGATGTTCTAAACAAGTAATATCCAAAAATTATTGAGTATGTATTTTAAGCCACCACCCCCAACTCTACCCTCTAAGAAAAAGGGAAACCAGGTAAAATACAGGCTTTCCTTCCCACCCCATCACATCTTCCTTGCACTCTTCTCAGCTTTTCTCTTCTATATTTTTTTTTACAGAAATTCTGTTTTTCCTCTAACTTTTCAGCAGATCAGTGTCTAGAAAAGGCAGATCTGTGCATTTGTAGGGAGAACTGGAAGATAGATAAAATTTTGCATATAGTTTCTGTATTGGACATGACACTTCCACAGTATTTAGGGGCAGTGAATTATTAGAAATACCAGGAAGCAACAGAACTCTTGAACTCTCTGACCTTAAAACCAGCCAGTCCTATTTTAATAGTTAGGGTATCATCTCCCTCACTTTTACCATCTGCAATATGACACAGGAAGTAAGGTGAGAGATACACATATGTATATATACACATATATATTTTAAACAATCTCTAGGACTGCAACAGCAAGTTCTAAATTTGATCCAGCATTGGGTCACCTTTATAGAATATTCAGGATTATGCTCTTTAACGGTCTTGTTGACATAAAACCACTTATTCTTCACTAGTTTTTCCTCTTTTGTCTTCGACAGCCATTTACCGCAGTACTGTAGCATGTGACACCCCAGTAAGATTTAAATATTTATTTGAATAACGCTGTAGTTATTTATAATATTTATTTCTCCAAGAAAACTGTAGATATATAGTGGAAAAAACTACCAATATTGCAGGAAAAAATGGCCCTTTTTTATAATGACCAAATTCAATGAGAAAATTGAAATGAGTTTCAGTAACTTGCAAGGAAAGAATAGCTTCAGAAAGCACAAATGTTCCGCAACAGTCTATGACCTATGAAAGTTACCTTCCAACATGTTCCTTATCTCTTTATCGTGAGTAACTTCTTTCGCGGTCTGTCCGCTCCCGTTAACAATGGAAGTATCAGCATTACGTTGCAAGAGTAACATCACCACCTCCTGGAAAACAAGCCGAGAAGCTGACAAGTTTAAATCTATTTCAGCTATGGCAAAGCCATACTTGGGCTTTCCAGCTCTTGACAGCCTATAGCACTAGCTGGAGAACAGCTTCTCATCCCAGCTGAGTTATGAGAGCAGGAAGGGATGTTTTGGAGAGACTGAGGGACTCAGCTGAGCCTCTGGCTTGGCCTTCTCCTTCATGTTAGTTAGGCTGCAGGAACCAACAGGAAACGAGTTACAGCTGGAGCAACCCAGGCTGCGCTAAAAGCCTATCTCTGTCTGATCTGAATGCTGAATTTGACAGATTTCCTTTTTTTGATAAGGGTAATCTTGTGATAAAAGCAGTCACCGTTTCAGAAATGCCAAGTGCACACACAGCACTAAATAGGCTGGTGTGGCCTATTTTTCCCACCTCACTTCCCCTCCGGAAGCCACTAAAACTCTACGGCTGTTCTCTAAGGGGATATACACTTAATAAGGAGGAAAGATTTCATCTCTTTGTACTGTGTCAAACAGATACAAGCACAAGTGCAGATTTAATGCACTGTACTTTAGCAGTAGATCTTTACACTGGTTTCCACACAGTAATGAGCACCTGCCATGCTTAAGCATTTTATCTTTGGCAAAGAGCGGATCTTCTGCCAGAACAGAAGCAGGATCAGTCAGTGCACAGGTAGCACATGGGACTTCCGTTGAAGACAACAACTATGATTTCCTTCTCCCACTGTTAGCAACATTCTCACCAATAAAAAGTTTAAAAAGATATGACAAAGTATAGCAAGAAAGAGAATGGACCAGTCTTCTGTCCTCAAAAAGAAGATATCTGTACCAGTTGTACCAAAAGGTTCAATGCACCTCATTCTTTTGAATGCACTGTATGAAAACAGATAGTAAGTCATCTTCTTGAAGACACTGTAAGAGCAACTTTTTGTAAAGATTTTATGCTAGTTTCCTTAATAAACCTATGAGAGAGGCTTAAAAAATAAAACCAACATACATTACCTTCCGCCCCGTGAAAGCTGCACGATGGAGCGGAGTATCCCCCATGTCGTTCAGTACGTTCACATCTGCACCAGCCTAAAGAGCAAAGGACACGTGAACGTCCCTCCGAGCACATCTGCACAAGCTACTCCCTCTGATGGGCAGCACAGACTGTGGTGAGGAACCTCACAGCACATCAGGCTAGAGCTGTAACACCAGCGCATCCCTGTGTTACACTCCTAGTCTGATATGCTATAACACCAGACTAGAACTGATAAGGAATCAATAGATAAGGGATATAAGCATCCTTTATTTTTTCCAGGAGCATCTTTCATTTCTGAAAAGCTATACCGAACACAAGTTTAACATTAAAAAAAAAAAAAAAAATTATTCTGTTACTTCTAGCATCTTTGTCAACTCTTTCATCCTCCTGTTTCATGCTTTCCCCATGCTATTCCCTTTCCCCGTAAGGAAGAATGTGTGGCACACTGTTTAGGCACTGTTTCAGCAGAACAAGAAAATTTACCTTTCTGCAAGTGTTTCTACCACATTGCTTTACCAAACCTCTCAAAATGTCAAAATGGGGTCAGGACATATTTATCACATATGTGCTTTGATCACGTAGCTTAATGAGACCACTGCTGTTGCTAACTGACAGGCTCCAACTCTGGTTCTTATAATTTGAGAATTCTATTTCTGGTCATACCTTACTTGCTCTTTGAGCACAAGACCTAGGCTGAAGTCACATATACTTTTACATGCCTAACTCCCAGAGGCGGAAGGGGCCTCCTTTATCATTAGCCTTTATTCTTTAACTGCCCTACAAGACTGCCCAACTGCCTTCATAGACCTACAAGAA